ACCCGCTTCCGCGAGCCGAGACTTTTTGACAACGTTGGGAGTTTTAAGTGATGAGGAATCCATGATAGTTTTTTAGGTGGTTCAACTCCGGGGCTCCCCGCCCGCCATCGAGCCCAACAAGTGGACACATTGCTCGGATGACCAGAGCTGTGCCAGGGCTACCCCAGAACTATACTCTTCACGAGAAAGTACAAGACCCTCCCGTCAAGATTGACCCAGGGCTTGATGTTGTTTCAATTCCCAACCGAGTCCGTTACTGCTGCAGGATACGAATACCGTAGATTCGCCAGTACGATGTATCTGTCTTGAGCAGGGCTGGGGAAATGAGACTGTCCTATTCTCTGTCCAACCCTGAATTCACAACGTAATGAAATCTTGGAAAATGTATTTAAAAATTGAGGCACGGCAATTCAGCCGCTTTACTGTTTCTAGGACAGATCTTCCGCCTTGAAATAGACCAAGGCAAAATTGCCATCCGCTCTCTAAGTTGAGGCATCTTGTAGTGAAAAATTGAAAAGTTATTGCAAACATCGCAGGGTGTTCGCTTGGAAAGGGCTACGTATCATCCTGAAATGTAGTGAAAAGCGCCTGTGGAAATAACTAACAGATATTGTGTGTGAGTGTGTGTACTTACACAGCTATTCACCTGTGACTGCAGAGATCATGGCCATCACTTCACATTTGGCTTTTTTACAGCTTTAAAAAAATGTAAGTTTCTTTTATTGTGTTCACTACGATGCCATCGATTTCAAATAAATTCAAGAGCAAAGCATATTAGAAAAGCTACAAAATTGATCCCACAGTATGTTCTTACAAAGCAAGCCTAGCTGTCCAAAAATTTGCGGAACATTATTAGAGACGATTGTAACATTTAGATACTACCATGAAGAACAGTCGGCTCTTAACACATTTTCGACAATAAGTCTTCTTGCCGGCTGATCTGCTCGGACTGCCTCGTCATCAATATTTGCGAAAGTAAAGACCAGCAAACTGGGCACATAGTGGCTTCACAAATAATCATTTTTACTAATGTATGAAATTAATTTAGCTGTTTAATTGATCAAGTTCGGATATAGAAATAGTTTCCATCATTTGGCTTTTCATAAAAGTCTCTCAAATGTAATTTTCGTAAATCACGGCATTAACACTTTACTTACATTTTTTATTTGCTTTTTATTCAGCTGGGTTGTAATGGTGAAGGCTGCAAGAAAACCTATTGTTTCACGGCGAAGAAAGTGAAACTTAAATGGCCTGACCTAAAATATTTCGATCTCGAAATCGGGTACAGTGCGAGCCAAAAGATAATTTGTTGACTCTGGCCGTCCCATGCAGTAGACCCAAGTTTAAATCGCTTGTGAAGAAAAGTAATACCGGGTATCTAGGCCTTTGTGCCGGGACGTTGCGTCCCTCTCGGCAACATCGAAGCCTGCTTCCTAAAGGATCTAAATTGGGTAGATGAGAGGCCTAAAACAGCTTCAGTTAAAAAAGAAAGCGGACAGCCTTAACCCCCCCTCCCCAAACGTTCAAGAACGTTTCTCTTAACTAATAAAACCGTAGTAGTCGGTGGTATTGTGTATGAAAGAGAAACCAAAAGCAGTATTAGATCTTCATAATTGTTACTTAAGAGTAGATGATTTGAGATCAACTAGACATAATTTGGTAATGTAACGGGCCTTTCCATTAATGTTAACTCTTGCTGAGGGCGACGGAATAGAAGTATTCTCTCCAATAACTATACGCTTTCCTGAACTGGAATCCCAACATCTTCGTTAAAAATGTGTTTTTTTAAATGTTTTTTTTATTAGAGTGTAATTTGAAATCGATTTCGATACCTATAAAGGAGTTCAATACCAAACTGCACTAAAACAGAGATCGGTGAAAGTAAAGCTTACCTCCCCTTCCCAATCCTGTCGGCACGCCTGCACGCATCACATCGATATCGGCATACAGGTTCCTGTTCCTAAGAGACATAACTTCAATCTCACCGTGACCATTTTGGTGACCCCGGCTGTCAAACACAAAAGAAACAAATCGCCGAGAAGGAAGGGGGTGCAAGGTATAGCTATAATTTACTTTGTTATGTTCTCAAACAGGATTGTGGGACTCACCTCGCTGAAGAGGCGATCGAGGTCTGGGAATCTGGAGAGCTCTGGCTCGTCTATCTGAAAGCTGTACATGTCTTCTTTGAGGACATCCGTGTACTCGGGAATCTTCTCCACTCCATCGGGCAGTGCGAGCTCATGATCTTCCTCAGAGTCTAGATTCTGTCAAATGGTCATTGTAATTGCACATGCTTTAAGCCCCAACAACATAACCTAGACAATTTGGTAGACAGGCTGTTTCAACCTTGAGTACTCGCGGATCTCTTCAACGTCCTTCGGCAGTACGGGCTCCGTCTCTTCTCTAGAGCCTAACATATCCCAACAAATCTCATCTGTAAAATAATTGCGCCTTCAAAGACACACACCAGTCCATTTTGGAGACAGGCTGCTTCGACTTTGCCCTCTCTGGAATCTCAAATCCCTCTGGCAGTGCAGTTTTTTCTCTGATTGAGAGCACTTGTCCTAGCGAGATTGTTAATGCTGCATGCCCCCAAAACACAATATTGAGTCAATTAGAGGGTGGACTGCTTCAACCCTGTGTACGCCTGGATCCCCATTCCTACCTGTTGAAAGGGCCTCTCCTCTTCCTCAAAGAGCAGGTACTGTCAAATTGGGACTATGTTGTGGTGTAATTGCTAATGGTTTTTACACCTTTATCAAGACAATCAATTCAGTGAGGAGGAGGGCTGAAAACCTTTTCTGTTTGACCCAGTACCCTCAATTAAAAAGCCTGCCTAGATAAAAATCAAGTTCGTGCGTGACGTGGTAAATGGTCTACTTTTCAAGCCGTAGTTAATGCTGTATTGTGCGGATAATAAGGGCAATAACTACAACATTACAATTGGTAAAACACGTCTGAAAGAAAAGAATGGTGCTAATACTTAATGCCAAAGATTATCAGTTTGTGTGTTAGAAGTAAACAAAAGAACGTCCACACAATAATTGTACTTAAAGGCAGGGACAAAGAAGTGGAAAGGGCTATCAGGAAGGTAAACAGAGAGAATAATGACATTGCAAAAGAATGTAAAGATAATGATTGCTTAGAAAAACAAAAGAACTCACACACTTTCGCACACACACACTCACTCACACACACACACACGCACACACACACACACACACACACACATAAACACACACATACACACAGACACACACACACACACATAGATAGATAGGAAGATAGATAGATAGATAGATAAGATAGATAGATAGATAGATAAATAGATAGAGAGAGAGAGAGCAAGAGAGAGCGAGAGTGTGTGTGCGTGAGAGAGAGAGAGAGAGAGAGAGAGAGGGGGGGGGGCATAGTTAAGGGGATTTTTAAAAATCGTCTTACATCATAAATGTCCCTTTTTTACAAGTTTCCCAGCTCTTACTTTAATTTCCTCCTCCTCGTTGACGATACTCGCTGTAAGAGAGATGCTATCTGCTTCTCTCTCCTTCTTCTCCTCCTTCCCGCCTTGTTGATCGATAGTTGTGTGTGTCTCAGTGGCTATTATCTCAGGAGCTCCACTACTCGCTGTTGACAGCTCCAGTGAATCCAGGGCAGTTTCCAAGGAATCATTCCTTAGACAAGACGAAGATGCAAGCACTGATTCTGGTGATTCATTCTTTGCTAGATCTTCGGGCGTATCATCTGAAAATACCGTAATAATATTATGATACATGTACACACACACACACATACACACACAAACACACACACATACACACAAACACACACACGCGCACCCACAAATACACACACACCCACACGCACACGCACACACACACACATATATATATATATATATATATACATAATATATATAATATATAATATATAAATATTTCTCTAAGACTACGAGACGAGTCCGGAATCCGTAACGTGTCCTTTTTCCTATTTTGCACGCTCAGACAAGGTTTTCATTTTCAACTTTAATTTTTTTTTTCTCTGCAATGCTCTCATTGCAAACCTACATTTTAGTCTAGAAAAAAAACACACTTGAGGATGGGGCATCCATTGTTTTGTCATTGGCACTGTTCAATTTCTTCTTCAGATTTGTGTCTTTCTTCGTTTTTCTCCATTCCATGGTGCCCTGTGGTCTCTTGAACTCATACGAACGACAGGTTGCCTTTCCCTTTGTTCTTTGTCTTTGATACAGTTCTGCTTTTCATACTGCATGTCGTGCAGTCTTTTCACTGGGTTCTTGTTTCGCCTCTCTCTGTCTCTCATTTATAACATTCTTTTTCTGCAGGAGCCAGCTTTGCCTCTGGGGGAAAACAGAAATTTAACGTTGATTAAAAGTTCTGTTTGAGAAATCAACTATCAATAGGGCCTGCTCTTCCTACAAATTAATCTAGATGTAGCATTAAGTGACTTAGTGCTGAAGTCAACTAAGCTAAGCTGATTGCTTGTTTGACATATTTTTTTGCGAAGAAGATTCCTATATCCTATTTCAGCACCTCTCTGCAACAACGCGAAAAGCACTTCTACATCTGCAACTAAAAAAACGATCTAAATCCAGACCTACATTTTAAGAACTCTTTGGTGAAAATGGTGAAAATGGTACAGGTTTAAAGCCTTATTAGATAAAGGTTATTTCAGAGGTGGGGCTTCCGAGGTAAACGTCCATCTCCGAAAGGACGGAGTCAAATGGGAAATTCGTGTAGAGTGTCTTTCTCAAGAGCAAAATGTTGGACCGAGCAGATGCTCGAAACCCCTGAACCCGCAATATCACGATAACTTTGAACTCATGGATAGCATTCATGGTCATAGAAGGTTCTAAAATTTGGTAGAACAAAAGTATGTTGGATTATTATTATCACCGATGTAGGAAAAATGGAACGATTCAGTTTTTCATTTTATTCTGTTGTTCCCTTGCTATTGCTCTCAATTTCATTCTTTTACTTAAATTATAGAATAACAATACAGGGGCTTTGTGGAAAAAGTACAGACACATCTTTCATATAATAACTATTCTGTATTGTTGGTGCATAAATGACCCACTTTCAACCCGAACTTTGGTCAGTTTAGTTATTTGACACGTGCCTCTCCTTCCTGATATCTTCTATTCTCTCCTGTTACTCTCAATTCCATCCTGTTACTCAAAGATAAAAATTACAATTCAAGCGTTCTGTTAAAAAACCACAAACGTACCATTAGTTTTAATCTCTTTCATTTACTCAATTAAGCGCGGACTACCTCACATTCTACCCCAAACTATGGTCAGTTAAGCTATTGAACACATTCCCTTATCTCCTGTTACTTTTTATTCTATCCTGTTACCAAAACCCGGGTAACAGGAGGGAAACTAACAGGAAGGAATTCTATACATCATTACCCTGACGACCACTAACTGGGTAGAGCTCATATTATGGTTTGTCTTACCATTGAAATGTAACAGTGGCAGGTTTCCTAACGAAAGGATAGTGTATCTGATTTCTGTATAATAAGTCGTTATAGACCCCGGTATCAGGAGGGACATGTATGCTCAAATACTCACCATGTTGGGTTGAACTTGGCCCCCGTATCTTTCAATCGTACTTTGCATAAGCTCCGCTGTCTCATGTGATATAAAGGAACAGGAAGGGAGTCTTGACTCGCAAAATCTCAAAGAAAATTAATCTAGATCTAGGGAACATTCATGTATGTGAAATGCTGGTTGACAGAAGAGAAGTTTGAAATGGGTTAAAGGAAATATGGAGATAAAAAGTCAATGCTAAATATAATACTAGGATGGCCACCAAGATGTTTGGGAATTCCATATAGCTGTCCAATACTCTGTACAACTGTGAAATATCTAATCCCTGGAACGATGACTTTTATCCCTAAGAATGTTTTTAAAAACTTATAAGTGTTGCGGATCTTCAAATTTTTGCCTTTCGAGCAAGATTTACTAAAGAGCTGTTACATTTCTATGACTTTGGCAGTTTTGAAAACCACATTTTAGGTCAAGGAACGTTTTACCCTGTTCATAAACATAGTTAATGGCAATTTTAAACAATATTTCATATTAGTATCCATGGAATGAGGTCTGGAATCACGAATTTAAAAAATGTGAAATTGTTTTAAGGACTGGTGGGGCACCTGAGGTCTTTTTTGGCTACTACAAGGGCTAGAATGCCGATATTTGCTGTGGGACATCGTGTGTTATTGGGGTGGGGATTTTAAATCAATAGTTCAAAAAAGTATATTGCAAATCGGTTGCTATGGAAACAGCGGCCATATTGAATTGTGTATACCTTTTTCAATCCCATTTTATTTCCTTATTTATTAACCGATTCACTTCTAATTTGGCGTGCCAGCAGTACACATGTAGCTCTTAAATTTAGCTTGTTGAATTTTTGATATATGCTTTAGTTTTTATTTTATGACATTTACAATTGAGATGTTGCAAAAAAAGTGAAAAAAATGGAAAATTCATGCTTTCTAAGCCCATAAATCAAAAACTACTACATTAATCAAAAATTCAACTGGCCAAAATTTAGAACTAGGTGTTGCTGGTATCCTGTGAAACTTACATTAAAACTGAATAAGAAACAGAGCAGAAAAATGGATAATATGTAAAAAAATGGAATTGTGAGAAAACACCCGATACAGGTAAGAAAAGGCTAGACAGCATGTGCTTTCGCCGAAAGACCTGACATAAAAGCACTGCATTAGGGTGTAGCAAGGCTTACATACGTTTCTGGATATTGTTCAGGAAATATCCAGGAACTATAATATGTAATAAACCCAATTTATACAATTTGATCCAAGGACACGATTTCTAGGTGCCCCACCAGCCCTTAATGACCCATCTATATAATATATATATAAATTGT